TGCTTTGAAGAGTCCAAGCATGTAAGTTTTAAAGGTTGAAAACCACTAATCTAAACCGCACTGAGCATGATACAAAGAACCTTTTAAAGAAATATCACTCTAAACAAGATCCTGAAGCCACACTCTAGGTATCAAGTTTAAGACTTTGGCTCACTCTCGATTCTCATTTTAATGTTTAATTCAGTATCCATCATTCTAAAACTTTGCTTAATGTAGTCTGGTAGACGGAAAAAAAGATTTGGAAAATAAAGTGAAATAGGAAGGATCTGTATGGAGTGGAATGAGAAATAGTGTCAAAATATAGAAGACTTAGAGACCTTGAACTCTTCCCCTCAAGGAGTTTTTGTTTACCAGATTATTAGGGCCAAGGGCTGGGCTACAGAGTCTCAGCCTCTTATCATATCCAGCATTCTTTGGTTCTATTTTTTCTTTTTTGGTTTTGGAGCACACCCCAGAAGTGCTCAGGGCATACTCCTGGCTCTACATTCAGGGATCACTCCTGGGCTCTGGTGCCAGGGATTGAATCTGGGTTAGACTTGTGCAAAGCAAGCACCTTACCCACTATACTATCCTTAGGCCCCAGCATTCTTTACTTCTAAAAGTTTCCTTTACCTAACTTCTACCACACACTGAGGTATTAGAATATATGGGTATAGAATGTATGAATTTAGGGGGGCAGGCAGGCATTTCATTTGTGTCTAGCACATTCAGGAGTATATACAAGAAATGAAGAGGGTCAGAAAACTTGCTAATAAATGGTTTACATTGCTAAGAAAGACAGGATCCAAGCAAGTCTAACTCACTAGAGCATTTGATGGCCAAACTTTATGCCATAATGTAAATCTACCAAGAAATGGGAATGAACTAGATCTTATGTATTACCCAAGTTTCTTTTTCATAAATTTGGTTTTATTGCCTTTGAAATGTACCAAGCAGGCTAGACATAGGTAACAGGAGTGTGGGGACACACACACACACACACACACACACACACACACACACACACACGTATTTCATTTTCTTTGTTCCAATAAGTTTTTCTTTTTATAAAACTCACATCTCAAAAAATGCCACGTTATTATCTAAATATAAACAAATATTGCTTCCAAATCCAATATAAGGGCTGGAGCGATTGCACAGTGGGTAAGGCGTTTGCCTTACACACGGCAGACCTGGCAGACCCGAGTTTGATTCCTCCGCCCCTCTTGGGGAGCCCGGCAAGCTACCAAGAGTATCTCACCCTCATGGCAAAGCCCGGCAAGCTCCCCGTGATGTATTTGATATGCCAAACATAGTAACAACAAGTCTCACAATGGAGACGTTACTGGGGAGCAAATCGATGAACAATGCGAGGACAGTGCTATAGTGCTAATCCCATATAAACTTCATTCAGACCAATTTAAACATTGACCCAATCTGAGTTTTATAGTTATGAATAGAATGTGAAGTTAAAAATTTATTAAAAATGTGCCATACTGATTTATATTTACCCTTGTGTTTTACATATAATAACCTAATCAGGCAACCAAAATATAAGAATCAAATCCTTAAATGTGTTTTTTCCCCTCAGATTTTCTGCAATGAATTCTAGAAGCAGTAAAGAAACAGCTCTGGGAGTGCCTCTGGGCAAAAGATAAAGGAGCTTACAGAGAGTGGAAGTGGTCATTATAGTCAATTACAACTTGACTTATCTGCTTTGTCATTAAAATGCCTGTCGGACCTTTCATTTTACTAAATCTTGGTAAAGAGAAGATGTGTCTTAGGGGGAGAGGGTTAACCCAAATGCTTTCTAATGCTGCTCACAAATTTACCTTGTAACTTCAGACAAACACATAGCCTTTCATCTTTAAATTGTGTTGCTTCAGTTAAACCCTCTTTGGCTAAAAGGGACCTGAGGAAATCACCTGGTCCAGTCTCCTGACTTCAAGAAAGCAAAGTATTATTATCATTTCCAAATGACATAAAGACTCAGAGAATTGGACATATATCTCAGAGAAATGGACATATATCATTTCCAAATGACATAAAGACTCAGAGAATTGAACTAGAATATGTCCTTCTGCCACTTAAGTGCAATGGATTTTATTTTGGTCTCACTTTAACTATCATGAGAAAAATATAATTATTGTTCTCACAGATATGTTATATACAGGTTAATGTATAATAACTACAAGGCACACTGAAAATGCCAAGGGAAGCTCATAAATATAACATTACCAGCAGAGATACTGGCACTTGGAATGGATGGGTCTCAAGGAAAAGCAGGAACATAGGGTTTAGTCCTGAGCTTGAAGAGCAAAGAATTACACTCAACTTAGTTATATAGAACAAATATCGTTTCTACAAATATGTAAAAAGATATTAAATAGGAATAATCATAAATTGAGAAAGAATAGGACTTATCATTATAAGTTTGAGAATGTAAATAAGAGTAAGATATCTTGACTGCAAAATCAGGAACCCTAAACAGTGGATTTTTCTTCACTGTCACTGTCCTACTGTTGTTTATTGATTTGCTTGAGCGGGCCCAGTAATGTCTCCATTGTGACACTTGTTACTGTGTTTGGCATATCGAATACATCACGGGTAGCTTGCCAGGTGAGCAAGATAGATTGCCATACAAATCTCGGTAGATTGCCATACTCTCCAAGAGGGGCGGAGGAATCAAACCTGGATTTTCTTATAATTAAAAAAAAAATCATGGGAATAATCTTTCAGTAGTAGTATTGCAAACCACAGTGCCTAAAAGGAGAGAGAGAGAGAGAGAGAGGAGGAGGAGGAGGAGAAGGACGAGGAAGAGGAGGATGAGGAGAAAAGAAGTGTAGGCTGAGTAACAGGGCAGGAGGGAAACTGGGACATTGGAGGCTGGAAACATACATTAGTAAAGAGTGTTGGAACACTGTATGACTGAAACCCAATCACGAACAACTTTGTAACTGCACTATCTCATTGTGATTCAGTAAAAATCATGGGGCAAGAGAAATAGTATAGGGAGTAGAGTGTTTGCCTTACATGTGGCCAACTTGGATTTGATCCCTGGCATCCCATATGGTCCCCCGCCAGCAGTTCCTGGGTACAGAGCCAGGAGAAAACCCTGATCATCAGTGGGTATGGCCCCAAAATGCCCAACCCACCAACTCAAATTTTCATCTGTAGCCAGAGAGATAGTAGCAGGACACTTGCCTTGCATGTGGCCAACCTGGGTTTTACCCATAGCACTCCAAAATGTTCCCCAAGCACCATAACCTGATCTTTCCCCTTTTGTCTTTAAACTGTCTGTGGCCGGATTGCTGAATGGCTGAACATGGGACCTATCTCCAACCTTATATTACGAACTATTCAAATTACTACTGCCCAAATCACCATCCATACCTGTACTTTGAACACATCAGCCACCTCATAAACCCTCATTATGCTCCATATTGAATCATTCAGGATTTCAAGGCCTTATGTTCACTCCAATCTAGTCTCTCTCTCAATCCTTCTTACTTTTGTTCTCCTTATTTCAATATTTCTTTCTTCTGAAATACCTGAAACAAGTCTCATTCATGCAGCTGGTAAACCATCTCTCTTCACCTTACTTAAAAGCAAACATGCATCTATGATGAAGACTCTAGAGGATCAGGCCTATTTAATAGGTAGAAGTATTTTAGTCACTTGATAATGATTAGCTAAAGGATACTTAAGTCAAAATTCCCCTCCCTGATAGAGAACATAATGTGAAGTGTGGTGGGCATAGAGATTGCTTAAGATATGTATTAAAGAGTATTAAAAAGGTCATGCATTATTTTAGGATTTCTCTCACCCTTTATTTAAGTTGTATCTTTATTATCCTCAATAAAGGAAGCAATTCATAACGTTTCTGCCTTGTTAAAGGCATACAATAGTTTTTTTTTAAAAGTCCTTATAATCGAGAGGAGGAAGGGTGATTCGCTTAGCCAAGTTAAGAACAATGATGTCAGGAAGGTTATATCCAATGAAAGGGTGAGCAGAATATATCATAAAGGAATTTTATGGCAGAATACACACTGGAGAGTAAAATTCTTTTTCCCCTTTTGATTTAATTTTATTTAAGGCACTGAGAGTAAAACTCTTCGGCAGGGATAGATCAGGGTCAATTTCATTATTAAATCCAACACAAGTGATGTGGACAGAGTTTGGTTTCCTGGCAGATACTAAACTTGGAAACGGTCTGGTTTGGATTTTTAATTTTTATTCACCTCCATATAAAAACATATAAAAAGTTGTGCAGATAAAAAGCATTTTCTGAAAATAGTAAATTCATTGGGACTGGCACAGATTACAGACTTCTAAAAAATTTAATGGTGGAATAATTTTCCTCTTTAAGAAGAGAACTAATTGGAAGTGGACCAAAGTCATTTGAGATAAAGTCTGGTGAAATAAAGGTGGGCAATAACCTGAACTAAATGTTTAGTAAAATCAATTGTAAAAAGTTGACCTATTTTATGTTTTAGAATAAGTATCTATATATCCTGTCACCATCAAAGAAACAATGATTAATGGGATAAGGTTAAGTAATTGCTTTAAAAGTTTTGTTTGGAGAACAGAAATGTGTATTTGATTTTATGATGGGTACTAAAGGGAGAAAAGATATAGTTATGAATGATTACAAATATTCAGAATCTTGAAAGCCAGGTAAGGTTTCCAACACCCTGCTCTGACTTTGGGATGACAGCTTTTTTAAAATCAAGTATTGATTAGTAGCCCTCCTTGACTTGACACAGCAGTTAGGAAGCAAGAAATGATGCTAAACTGCAAAACTAAAAACTAACACAAATGCACACAGGCTTCCTGGTATGTACATTCTTTTTGAGGACAGAACTCTCCTTTACAGAATTCAGCACATAACAGTTTCAGAAATCGAACTTCTTGACCTCCCAATATTAAATAACTAAATGTTGCAAAAGAACCACCATTAAAAGGACATCAAAAGCTATACATTTTATATGAAACAATATGTGCACAGATTTTCAAAGCTGTGAAAATGCAATAAAGAGCACAACACATTTTGGTCACTTTATTAAATGACATTAAATAGTTTCAACTACTAAACAGCACTTTGAATGGTGAAAACACAGATAGTATTATTGTCATACTTGAATGCTTTTCTTTAAAAACACAATTCCAGTCCTCATATATATTATAAAAAAGCCTTAAAGGAAGAAGTGACATATTTTCTACAGTACTTAATATACTCAATACAGAACTAAAAAGCAGTCTAACAGAAATAAAGGCAAGTCTTCACAGCTGTATGATTTCAGCAGCCAAAGCTGGATGATGGACTGAAACATTACTATACAACTGGGACAAAACATATACATCACAATACTAAGCAAAAACGCTTTACACCCCCAAAAATAAAGCAGGTTACAAAATGTGGAGAATTTAGCAGGCAAAACTGTTTTACAAGCAACATTTTAAATCATCATTTAAGCCAATGCAACTATTTAAAGCATCTAAAACAAATATAAAAATGAGTCTTTTAGTATCTTATTGATATGATTTCAACTTTAAATATTTGTTAAAGCTTGATGTTATACTCAAAGTACATATTATGTAGCTAAAATGTCAAGTGAGTAGAGTGTACAGTGGTCCAAGTTTTATTTCAAACTCTAATTTCCAATTAACCCTTCTATGTATTATCTTTTAAGTCATAATTTCATCAAAGGTGAAAAGGCTTAGAAGATTGTGGAAATTTTTCACATCTCTATCTTTGAGCAAGTAAGTAAGTAGACCATATTGAAAATTCCCAAGTCTAGTAAACCAGGTTTAAATTGTTTTGGACTTGTAGAAATACCAACTGATAGCAGCTGGCCAGAGTGTACTGCCTTCAAATAAGTATCTAATAAATGCTGTTTTTTTTCCATTTATTCTAAAACGCAAACACACATCTCCCCCCCACCCACCCATAGCAATTAAATAGATTTTGTTGATTGTATGTCTGCCATAATATCCAAATGTATGGCATCTGTTAGTGATAACTTACCATAAGAAGGTGGGGGTGAAGCCAGCAAACTGCACAAATTCTCTATCACAAACCTAGTGTTTCTGGATGTTATACAATTTTTTCTTTCAAGATAAAAATGGAAATTCAATAATCATATATACAACTCAAAACAATTTTAGCTACTGTTAAATTCACTCTAATCCAGTGATACTTAGAGCAAATCCTCCACCCACCTTCCGTTTTTTTCTGGATTCCTTAGCTCTTTCTACTACCTGTTACTTTATCTCAAAAATGTTTTTGCCATGTTGATCCCTAGAGTTTAACAATCATTCTGAAAGGAAACTCAAGCAATCAAATTGTACATGAATAAAAATAGGTAATTTTTACAGGCCTGGGTTAAAAAAAATGACAATGTAAATCTTTTCTAGTAAAATGTCATTAAGGGTATTGGATAAATTACTCAATCAGAAAATCAAACCACAGATAAAAATCAAATTAAAAGAACTTTGAAACATAACTTAACCAATAAAATACAAGGAAATTGTGGGAAAAGAATATAATGATGAGCTAAAGGAATAACACAAAAGGCCGGTGATCTTTTAAGAGGAATTATTTCACAATACTGACAGTACTGGGAATTGTTAAAGCACATTCCTCATTGAGAACTTAAAGTCAGCAATAGTTCTGCCATTCTGATGTTGTTCATAAAAAAGGGTGTGAACATAACAACCACAAGTCAGCCTTGACCTCCTAAAATGCTAGAACTTGATTTTGTCATCCACATCCCACTGCCAGCAACAGGATGAAGCCTAGCACTGGCACCAAGCAGTTAAAAGTGTCTTTTAATATATTAGTGCCAAGTGAGAGAAAGTTCATGTATAGAAGATAATCCCCAACTCTGAAATTTTACCAGTAATTATTTCAGCACATGAAACTGGAAAAAATGGCAGAAAGACTAAAGTAAAAGGAATTCTCTTCTTAGGCTATACTTAAGGCTGTTTATACAATGCTAAGATAACTGCAAGACTCCTCCAATATTTAGAGCAGTAGTATTTAAGAATATTGCACACAATTTGTGTCAAAGATAACACTTAGTTTCTAACTTTCACAGAGATGATATAGCAGGAGCCCAGTTTCAGATTTCAGTCAAAAGAATATTAAAACCATTTCAATCACTTTAAGCAAGAAATGGATTAAGTACAAAAGTATCTCATAACTTGAGGAATCAACTTTAAGAACTCAGCTGTGCATTTTTATGTAAAGAATGAATATGTAAATCTGCATTCCTTCCTAAATTTATTAATTTTATGACAATTTTATGGTTGCTAAAGCAGGCATAAAAATTTAGAGAGGAAATCTGTAGAGTTGTTACTGTTATGGAAGAACTTGTTTTCACTGAAAACAATTTGAAATATCTTCTGTACTCAATGTGTGTAAGAAGATTCTAGGCAACATCACTGACAAAGGTCAGGAAGAAATGATATGCCTATTAAAAAAATTTTCAAACTAATATGGAAGATTAGCATTTAAGGGGACCAAACTATTTATACAGTTGAGTTCTGTTAAGTCATTGATTCCTAAAAAAATAAAAGATCTTTCTATGATTTTACCAATCCTTTAAGCTTTTAGTGCAAAATCACATTGATTTCCCTTGGGAAGGTCCTGGATTTTTGCTTCTCATTGGTGGTGGTGCACGCTGTAATGGTGGTGGCTGCATACCACCAGCCACTGACTGATACATTCCTCTCATATCAATCTGCTGGTAATTAGAAGGATTCATTATTAAATTTGGTGGCTTTGGCATCATGAGGTGACTCAGTGTCGCTTGTTGGTAAGTCATCTGTTGCTGTTGCTGTTGCTGCTGCTGTTGATTGTACTGCTGCTGAAGCCTTCGGTTCATAAGAATTCGCTGAACACAGCTGATTAACTAAAGAGAAAAAAGGGATCTGTTAGAAGTGCATGACCTGTCTCAAAGAGGCAAGTATCAAGTTTTGGGTTAAAATCAATTTGTTAAGGGGGTACCATACCAAAAGGAAAACATGTTATTGTTATCACCATTACTAATCTTATGGCATCCACAGGACCATTACTGTAGAAACCAGTTAGTAACACCATTTATGGCTAAATTCTCTTAATGATTTGACTATTATATTGCAACCAGCATTTAGGTTAGTTGCCATAGTAACCTGTCCAGCACTGTAATTAGTCTCAAGTATTAGTTACAGCACTTTTTGTCAAGTCTCCTTCCTTTGTCATTCTTTTGAATATTTCACATGATGAAAACTAAATATTTTTAGTGACAAACACCAAAGGGAGAAAGCACTTGCAGTGGGAACAATTCCTACAAAGAATGTCTCAAATTTCCCAAGATAACTTAAAACCACAGTGATTTCTAAGTAAAATTCCTACCACAGGAATGGATTCTCTGGTGTCAAAAGTTGAAATTTCCCAGTTCAAGACAGATGACTGGCAAACAAATGTGCTGGGAAAGATGATTAAAAATGCTGGAATACGCTGCCCTTCTAAAGAATTATGTAATTTAGCAGGAACATGCATCAGATGCTATTTCATTTCTTCGCTTCCAAATCACACCCATTGATACTCATGGCTTACTCCTAGCTCTGTGTTCAGGGATCACTCCTGGAAGTGCTCAGGAGATCATATGTGGTGTCAAAGATAGAACCCAGGTTGACTGTATGCAAAGCCAGTTACCCCTATCAGATACTACTGGTAATTCTATTGTTCATTCTCAAATTAAATACAATAAAATTATACTTATTTGGGAGAGTTGTTCAAAATAGTAAATGGAAAAATAGTAAAATTAAAATGGTAATCAGGGGCCAGAGTGATAGTATAAAGGTCAAGGTGCTTGCCTTGTAGGCAGCTATCCACACCGTTTGATCACCCATATTGCTTATCATTCCCCAGTACCATAGGAATAAACCGAGCACAGAGCCAGGAGTATCCCCAGAGAACCTTTGGCTATAGGCCTAACAACCCACTCCCAAACATAAATGTGTTTTTGTAAAAATAACACCTAGATTCATTTCTGGATGTCCAGAATATACAAAAAAACATTGTATGGAACAGCTCTTCAGGACCATTTGGCAAGTTGTTGCTTATTTTAAACAAAGGATATTACCTTACTAGGCTTTTGTTTTTTATGGGGGGGGATGTGTAATCCACAATCAATGCTCAGACCTTGGAGTCACTCACAGCAATATTCAGCCCAAGATGGCATTTGACAGAACAGTAAGGCCCTGTTGATACAGTGCTGCTGGGGCCTTGTAGACTAGGACACCATCAGGACCACATTTAGTAGTGCTCAATGACTTTCAGGGCTACATCTGATGTGCGTGGGGAGATCATGTGATGTTAAGGCTCTATCTTGGTCCCACAGAGGTAAGGAACGTACCCCAGCTCCTGTGCTAACTTCCTAGTCCTACTTGGTTTTTTTGACAAAATTTCTTCTGGAAATAAATGACCAACCACCTAGATGTCCATATGAGGGATAGTGTGTGTCATTAACAGACATTATACAACACCAACTATTATAAATTCGAGACAATGAAACATAGAAGAGAGAGAGCTTACCATCTGCTGTTTTGTCAAAACATCATTGTAGATTGCTTCTCTTCTTTTAACATCAAGTTCCTGGCTGGCTTGTCTACTTAATGCTAATGCTTGAACTTGGGTCTCTGTGAGACTCATGTTTTCCTTCCACTGAAAAAGAAAGTTTTTATTTACTCTGTGCTGATGTAGAACCAAAGAGCAATAATTAAGGTTTTTAAAGACAGTCAAGGTTTTTTTTCATGGGGAGTTGGGGGGTACACCCAGTGATGCACTCAGGATTTACTCCTGGCTGTGCTCAGAGTACTATATAGGGTATCAGGGATCCAACCAACTTTGCTACATACAAGGCATGCACCCTACTGACTGTATTATCACGCCAACACCAAGATATTCAGGTTTTCAAAAATGTCCTCCCCCATACCCGCTTCATGTCATTCTTTCCCAAAGAAAACAGTGATGCTAAGGAAAAGCAAATGAAAACAATAATGAGATTATCAGCTCACATCACAGAGACTGGTACTAATCAAAAAGAACAACAACTGGCCTTTCTCCCCGCCCAGATGAGAACCGAGTTGCCGCCCATGAACGGCTCCTCCACTCCTGAACGGCCATGATCCCAAAGGTACACAAACCAATCTCAGAACCCAGCGGCTTCTGGCAGAAATGCTTCTGGACTGTGAACTAAGCTACAACCCCGTGCCGCCTTGGGAGGGGAAGGTGTTTGTCTCTCCGCCTTTTCCCCCTTGGCAGCAGCATGGTGACCGGCAATCTTTCAGAGCCTATTGGACAGACAGGTACGAGCTTGCAGTGATGGGGTACTCAGTGCTCTCCGGATTGGGGGGGGGCAGAACCAGCCCTTCTCCCCGCCCGGACGAGACCCCGAGTTGTTGCCCACGAACAGCTTCTCCACTCCTGATCCCAAAGGCACACAAACCGATTTCGGAACCCAGTGGCTTTTGGCAGAAATCTCTTTGGACTTAATTACTAAAATACCAGAAAGCAGCCCTGCGACATCATATGCTCTTCAACATCAGCACTAGAAAACAAATTATCTTAATAATGCCTTTTCGGCAGGTCTGATAGTTTGGGGAGGGGGAGAAATTCCAAATAATAATAGTGGGTCTTCAGTCGAAAAATGGAATGTAATCAAAGTAAAGAGAGAGTAAAGTGAAAATCATCTGCACACAGGCTGGAGGAGGGGGGGATGGGGCATATACTACTACGGTTCTTGGTAGTAGAACATGTGCAATGGTGAAGGGATGGGTGTTTGATGATTGTATGACCGAGACTTAAACCTGAAATCTTTGTAACTGTTCTCATGGTCATTCAATAAAAAAAAAAAAAAGAACAACCACCAATGTTGGTGAGGATATGGGGAAAAAGGGACCCTCATTCACTGCTGGTGAAAATGCTGACTGGTCCACCTTTTGAGAAGACAATATGGAATTTCTAAAAAAAAAAAAAACTAGGAATTAAGCTTACATATGACCCAACAATTCCACTTCTGGAAAATGTATCCCAAGAGTCCCAAAGCACAATGTAGAAAAGACATCAGCATTGCTATTGTTTATTGCAGAACTCCTACACACTCCCATGTTCATTTACACTCCTATGTTTATTGCAGCACTATATGCCAAAATATTGGAACAACCCACATGCCCATGAACAGATGACTGGATAAAGAAAACAATGGAATGCTATACAGTCTTAAGAAAAGATAGTCATGCAATTTGCTGTAATGTAAATGAATCTGGAGAGTATCATGTTGAGTGAAGTCAGACAGATGGAGAGGAACAGATTCAGAATGATCTCTCACATTTGAGAGATACAGAGAAAACTTGCAGGGGAATATTAAATGCCCAATGGCAATAGAAATGAAGAACAGAGCAGGAAAGTTTGGCACTGGGGGAAGGGTGAATGGGAAAAGTTAAGGAATGGAACATGAGGATAGTGGGGGATGGTAAAAGGAAGTCTGGGGGTGAGAGGAAACTGGTGACACTGGTGGAGGGTAGTGGGCATTAGTTAAGGGACTGCTGTTGAAATAGTGTACACCTGAAAAACCAAAAATGTCTTTGTAACTTTTTTCTTCTTTGTAACTTTTTAATTCACAGTGATTTAATTAAAAAAAGGGAAAAAGTGATGTAAAAGGAGGTCTACTGTTGTACATAGGTTGGCTAAATCTAGAAAAAGGTATATGGATTTAATTTGTATAACATATAATTAATATATATTTATATAAATAATGCATACATTCCCTTTCAAGTGTGGTCTTCTTTATAGAACTTCTCTAGCTCCATGTAGAACTTCTCGATTTCTCTTTCATCATAATGAGATGTTGGTGCTTAGACAACGAAGATAGAAACTGCAGGCAGTGAGCCACATCTATTCAAATGTAAACGTCCGATTCGGGTTGTTAGGCATTCGAATGAATCAATGCTCTTGGCCAAGTTTGTGTTGACAAGGACACCGACGCCACCAATGCCTCTTTTATCGCATGTTCCGAGGAACAATTCTTCTCCAGTGTCGAAAACGGCATGGTGAGATTCGTGCCTTCTTGTCTCGGTCAGACCAATGATGTCGTACTTGATCATTCGCGCTTGTACCATCAGGTCCTCGATGGATGCATCTGATGCTAGCGTACGTGCATTGAAAGTGCAGACGATCATTTTTGTCTTCCTTCGTTGTGGCAGCCTAGGTCGGCCTTGAGATTTTGTCGGCCTCTCCTTTCTCATCCTTCTCAGAGCTGCCATGTCGGTGAAGCCTTCAGGGTCAGGTGAATGAGACCAGTTGTAGTTACTGGTTTTGGCATATCGAATACACAGCGGATAGCTTGCCAGGCTCTTCCGTGCGGGCGGAATACTCTCGGTAGCTTGCCAGTCTTTCCGAGAGGGATAGAGGCTTTTAGGGTGACCTCTAATCACCCTTGTAGGTGTTACCATATTTGAACCCTATCAAATATGGTACGACAATTCCAGAAGATGGGTATTTAGTGTCTTATGATGTGTCGCGCGGCCGCGCGGGTCCGGAAAGAGTCCTGGAGTGTGGCGACGGCTGGGTAATGGAAGTAGTGAAGTAGTGCCGTCAGTACTCATCAATACACTGGCTCGGCTCTTCACTCGCTACCTGTCTGAATGCAAGGTTCCGTCCCAATGGAAAACCAGCAGGACCGTACTACTGTTCAAGAAGGGAGACATCCATGACATTGGCAACTATCGCCCGATCTGCCTATTGTCTGTCATCTACAAGTTGTTCACTCGAGTCATCCTAAATAGGATTGGCAGAACACTAGATGAAGGACAACCATGCGAGCAAGCCGGGTTCCGCAAAGGATTCAGCACCATCGACCATATCCACACGATAACCAAGCTCATTGAGGTTTCTCGGGAGTTCAAGATGCCGCTCTGCTTAACGTTCATTGATTTAAAGAAGGCCTTTGATTCTGTTGAGACGGAAGCGGTCATTGAAGCCCTAGCCAATCAGGGCATTCAAGCCCAATACATCAGGATCCTCCGTGAGCTGTATTGCGGATTCACTACCAGGATCTCACCATTCTACAAAGAAGTGATCGTTGATGTCAAGAGAGGGGTGCGGCAGGGTGATACCATTTCACCGAAACTCTTCAGTGCCACCCTTGAGAACATCATGCGACGACTGGAATGGGAAGGAATGGGAGTGAAGATAGATGGCCGGCAACTACACCACCTCCGCTTTGCTGATGACATTGTTTTAATAACACCAAACATCAGCCAAGCGGCACAAATGCTGGCCGACTTTGACCGTGAGTGTGGAAAGGTAGGACTACAGCTAAATCTTACGAAGACAATGTTTATGAGAAACAGCCTTGTTCCTGACACCCCATTCGCTCTCAACGGAACGACCATCTCCGAATGCAACAGCTATGTGTACCTAGGTCGAGAAGTCAACATGACAAATGACCTGGCACCCGAGCTGCGCAGGAGGAAGAGAGCGGCTTGGAACGCCTTCAAGAACGTCGAAGAAATAGCTATGAGGACAAAGAACCTCCGGCTCCAGGCACATCTCTTTGATTCCACTGTTCTTCCTGCATTAACATATGCCTCAGAGACCTGGGCCCTATGCAAACAAGATGAGAACGCTATTCAGGTCTCCCAAAGAAGAATAGAAAGAGCTATGCTTGGAATATCATGTTTCACTCAAATGAGAGAGAGAATCCGGAGTTCTGACATTCGTCGACGATCAAGGATCAGGGACGCTGTCTCATATGCCAAGGTGTCGAAAATCAGATGGGCTGGTCACGTAATGAGATTTAAAGACGACCGTTGGACTAGAGCTGTTACTGATTGGATTCCACGGGATGTCAAAAGACCGCGTGGCCGCCCACCTACCAGATGGTCAGACTTCTTCGTCAAGATCATGAACGATCGGTTTGAGGCCCTTCATGTTCCCGGAGCGAACAGATGCCATTGGGCTACACTAGCATGCGACAGGGACAAATGGAGACGTTACTTGCGCCCGCTCGAGCAAATCGCCGACTAACGGGAAGTTAAGTGATTAAGTGATTAAGTGATCCCTTTCAAAAATTTTTTCAATAAAAAAAAAACAGTGCTAAGGGTTTATTCCTGGCTCTGTGCTAAGGGATCATTTTTGGCAGTGTCAGGGGACTATATGCAGTGCTGGGTACAGAACCAGAGACAGCTGTTTGAATTATATCTTGGCACTACTATCCATATATTATCAGACTATTTGTACTTTGCTATTGCAAATCAAGTTATCAAAATTATGCTCTCAATTGCCCATTAACTTACTACAGCAGAAATGATGTCTTCAAGAGGCTGAATCCTCACGGCTGTTACACTGTTGGTTGCTTCCACAACTTTTTCTCTTCCTTGATTAATGAGGTCCTAGAAAAATATACAGAAAATAAGTTAAAAAGGGCATATAAGGGGCTGGAGCGATAGCACAGCTGGTAGGGTGTTTGCCTTGCAAACAGCCGACCTAGGTTCGAGTCCCAGCATCCCATTATAGTCCCCTGAGCACCGCCCAAGGGTAATTCCTGAGTGCATGAGCCAGGAGTAAACCCTATGCATCGCCAGGTGACCCAAAAAGAAAAAAAAAGGCATATAAAAGAAAGCATGATCTTATTTTTTTCATGTTCTTTTTGAGTCACTCCTGGAGGTGCTCGTAAGTTACTCCTGGCTCTGCACTCAGGAATTAATTACTCCTGGTGGTGTATAGGGGACCATATGGGATGCTGGGGGTGTCAAACCTAGCATGTTGCATGTAGGTCATGTGCAAAGGACAATATGAACTTTAAAACATAGAGAACCCTCATTTTCCCAATTTATAGCAGTTGGTTTAAAACTCTTTAAATAATTGAAAAGAATAGAAAACTTTAACATCAATAAAGCTCAAGGGGCTCGGAATATACAGGGTTTAGGGCTAGAGTGATAGTATAGTGGGTAAGGTATTATTTTCCATTCTGCTGCTCTGGGTTTAATTCCCGATGCCATGTAAACTCACCCCAGCCCAACAGGCGTGATTCCTGAGCACAGAGCCAGGAGTAAGCCCTGATCACTGCCAGGTGTGGCCCCCCCCAAAAAGCACAGGGTTTAAGGTACATGCCTTGTATGCGGTCAACCTTATTGATCTTCAATATCATATTGTATCCTTGTATAACCAGGTGGAGTCCTAAAGGTTTCTGAATACTGATGGTGTGACCTAGGTAATCCCTGGAATGCAGGACCTGCACAGAACTACATCCTTGGGTACTTGCACTAAAAAGTGTGTCTTGTTGGCCAAGAATAGCCAGTGGCACCCACAGACTTCCTGAGCACCATTTTAGTTGGGTGCTCCTAAAAGGTAGAAAACCCCCTTCAAAATTAAAAACTAAAGCTCATTAAGAATTAAATAAAAAATAAAGCTCACTAATAATAGACTTACTAGGAAGATAAAAGTTTGGTATTAATACATCAATAACTTAGTAATTTAAGTGATTCCTTATTTACATTTTAAAAGTACATTACAAAAAATATAAAAAACATAAAAGGACATTACAAATTCAATTAAGTTATTAAATTACTGGCTTAATAAAACTTTCTTTAATTCATAGTTGATGCTAGTTTTCCATCACTTCCATCATTTAATATTTTACATTTCATCTCTATAATTAAATTGCAGATTAAATTTAATGCTGCATCTACACTGTATAACAAAGGTATTTATTTATCCTACTTCTAAATATTAAGAATTTATTTATGATATTTTTAACTGAGAAAACTGCTATTTTCTCTAGATGCTCAGCTGCTCAATTATGCCTTAGCTAAAATAATTCAAATTACATTAATTCAAGGTGTAATTTCCTTGTACTCTGAACAAACCTCATTTTTCTATACTACCTTGGTTCAAATAAGTCAATAAATAACAGGAAAAATCCTTTTTGAATTCAAAGATAATCTATTGGAGATGTGTTATTTCTGTATAGAGAGTCAACAACAACAGGACAACTGATACTGTCTTTAATTTAAACTATTTTTTTTTATTTCACAACTTACCTCCAGCTGTTGATTACTCATTGCTGACAAGGCTCCTAAGTTGAAAGGAATATAAGGAGTTTGAGAGTTGAAACTGACAGGGGGTAAATTGGTCCCAGTTGGTATGTTGAAACGCATGGTCAGTCCCTAAAAACAAAAAATAAAAACTCTGCACTTGTGATTTAAACTTGGAATACTGCCTTACCTAATAGTTTAGAAAAGAAGCACATTCTCAGATCTATGAAAATTTTAACATACTCCCACACACAAACACGTTTTCAGATAAGACCAAGATCTTATGACACAGAAAGCTTTAACCTGTAAAGGTGTACGAAAGTAAACTATTTTTTCGTAGTAACCACAGAATGGAGTTACTTAGATAGTTCTGGTAAGACTACTAACACATTAAGTTTGATACAAGGAATAAGTTTAAATAAAGGAAAAGGTTTTCTAAGCTCAAGCTCATTTTTGCTAAAATGGTCTGATGTTTAAAGCAAAAATGGAAATTTTTGAAATAAAGCGAGTTAACTGGAGATTGACATTAATGTCCAATAACAAAATTATTTTCATGTTCTGATATTCAGCCAAAATTCAGATTTCATGGTACACATACTAAGCAAAAGTTATTTCTATCTCCAAACTCTAAGCTCCCTTATGTCTACCACCATAGTAATGGTACTGATTGGAATTAAATGATGTAAAATATATAGCTTCCCCCTCATCTTTCAATTCATTGAGTACTAGGCAGAAATGGAGTTAACTATTCTTTGAAAGTTATTTTCTTCTTTACTCTACTCTACCACTAAAGTGAGCCAGAATCTGTAAACATACTCTTATATTTGTGTTCCTGAAGAAACACAACCAAACAAGATCATTTCTTCCTCATTCACTTTCATGAGTAGTAACAAAAAAACGCATTTTAAATGAATTACCTTCTTTTCTGCTTCATATTCAGCCCAAGCAGCTTTTCTTTCTTCTTCAGTCAACTCTTCTTCTTCTTTGTGGTCCAAAAGAGAATCATGTTCATGATATCCTACAATGTGTTCTTTATGTATCTGGAGAAGTTCTGCCAGTATGGTGTCCTATTTATAGAGGTTTAAATAATACAGAATTATTTTCCTTTTTGGGTGCCACTATCTTCACATTTCTTTGTAAGAGAAACTTCTGAGAAAACATAAACTAGAAACAGGCTGCTAGCCTGATGGCGCCTTCAGACCTTCAGATACCCCAAAATTGCTGCTGTGCCTTTGGCCAGACCCCAAAAACTTGGGACAAAGTTTACCAAGAAAGTAAACAGCCAAAAGTTAGGTATGTGGCAAGTGGTACAATATGGAAAGTATCATGCTAAGCGAAATGAGTCAGAAAGAGAGGGATAGACATAGAAAGACTGCATTCATCTGGGGGATATAAAGTAACAAAATATGAGATTAATACCCAAGAATAGCTGAGATCAACACCAGGAGGATTACTCCATAGCTTAGAGGCCAGCCGGGTATTCTAGGGGAAAGGGCAGTTCAGATAGAGAAGGGAGCACCAAATAAAGGGTGTTTGGAGGATCCTCCCAGGAGGGGAGATGCATGTTGAAAGTAGACTATGGACTGAACATGTTTGCCACTCAATGCCTCTTTTGCAGACCACAACACCCAAAAGGAGAGAGAGAACAAAAGGGAATGCCCTGCCACAGAGGCAGGGTGGGAGGGGCGGGATGGGGCGGGATATTATCCATGGTGGTGGAAAATGGGCACTGCTGGAGGGATGGGTATTTGATCATTGTATGACCGAAACCCAAGCACAAAGATTTGTAAATCTACAACTGTACCCCATGGTGCTTCACTAATTAAAAAAAAAAAAAACAAAAGTTAGGTATGTGGGAGACACACCCACAAAACACTCCAGGCTCAGCTATATAATTGGAGGCATGGCCTCTCTGGTTCCTGATCAAACTGCTTAACGGCCATGATCCCAGAGACTCAGCAACAAATCTCGGAACCCAACGGCTTTTGGCAGAAATGCGTCCAGTCTCTGCAGTAGGTTACTGGTGCTGGGCCACCCGAGGTGGGAATAGGTTTCGTGCCTTGGCCTGCTCCCCCTGGCAGCCCGCCAAATAGCTCTGCAAGCATTTCTCAGGAAGGAAGAAAGGGCCCACATAAACAACTTGACTTCACAGCTCAAGATCTTAGAAAAGGATCAACAAAAGGAGCCCAAATCAGGCAGAAAGAAAGAGATCATAAAACTTAGAGCATAAATCAACGACATGGAAACCAAAAAAACAATCTGAAAGATCAACAGAACCAAAAACTGGTTCTTCGAGAAAATAAATTAGATAAACTACTAGCAAAACTCACAAAGACAGAGAGAGAGAACCCTAATAAACCGAATCAGAAATGAGAAGGGGGATATCACAACAGAAACCAAAGAAATTCAAAAAATCATCAGAGACTACTTTGAAAGTCTGTATGCCACAAAACAAGAGAACCTAGAAGAAATGGTTAAATTCCTGGATTTCTATCATCTTCCAAAGCTGAATCAAGAAGATCTAGAGTACCTGAATAGAATATTAACATCAAGGAAATTGAAACAGTAATCAAAAGTCTTCCCAAAAACAAAAGCCCAGGTACAGATGGATTCACTAGTGAATTTTTCCAAACATTTAAAGAGGACCTATTGCCAGTTCTTCTCAAGCTTTTCCAGGAAATTGAAGAAACAGAAACTCTCCCAGTGACACTGTAACATGGTAGTAAAGGTAAAGGCCCTCCCGTTGATCATCGATTTGCTCGAGCGGGCCCAGTAACGTCTCCATTGTGAGACTTGTTGTTACTGTGTCTGGCATATCGAATACGTCACGGGGAGCTTGCCAGGCTCTGCCGTGCGGGCGAGATACTCTCGGTAGCTTGCCGGGCTCTCCGAGAGGGGCGGAGGAATCGAACTCGGGTCGGCCATGTTGGCTGCGTGCAAGGCAAACGCCCTACCGCTGTGCCATCACTCCAGTCCTAACATGGTAGTAACTTTCCCAATTCTCTCAACATCTATATGATGTTGAATTTAAGTGCTTGAATTTAAAACAAAAATAATAGCACAAAACCAACCCAGCCAGAATAACCTACCAAAAGGCTTTGCAGATAACAAGAATAAACGAATTTAAAACAAAAATAATAGCACAAAACCAACCCAGCCAGAATAACCTACCAAAAGGCTTTGCAGATAACAAGAATAAACTATATAAATTCTTTTTATCAGATAGAATACAATTTTCTGTTAGGTTCAAACCATTATTTTTACTTAGGAGGAATATGCATAATTTTTGAATTTTTCTTTTTGGCTGTTTGCATGCACAGGCATTACTCCTGGCTCTGCACTCAGGAAATACTCCTGGTGGGGCTCAGGGAACCATATGGTATGCCAAGGATCGAACCCCAATCAATAGTCGATTTGCTCGAGCGGGCCCAGTAATGTCTCCATTGGAGACTTTGTGTGCAAGGCAAATGCCCCACCATCCCTCTGGCCCCTCATTATTTTTTCAAATCAAACAAAAACCATTTCACTGGAAATATTAATACAGTAAGCATCTTGATATATTAAGACAACATTATTCAATAACAATGCAACAGAAGAGACATGTAGGTTCTACAACTTTCTAACTTTAAACAATGGATGATTCACTAAATATCTTTTACCTGAAGATTTACCTATGTATAAAAACAAGAGAGCTTGACTAGATTACTTCTAAGGTCCTTTTCAAGTATTAGTGGAAAAACACCATCAATTAAGAATCTATTTTATTTGTTGATTCTTGATTGCTTCGTGAAACAATGCTAAGACTAAAACAGATTTCATGTAGAATTCCTAAAGTTATAGGAACTTTAGTGAAGGATATTGTTTCCTTTACATATTATCACTTTAAGGTTTCTACTAAGAAACTGGTTCCTGCAGAAATGAAATTTGTCATATTCTGGTGCTTTGTGAAAAATTGACCAATTACACTTTCATTTGAATATGTTTTTGTTCTCTTTTTTGAAAATTTTAATATAGCCTTTCATGACTAGCTTCTATAGTAGTGGTATAGTAGTGTCTTTGGTTCATGTTTAGTTTTTTAAAGCTAATAATCTGAAGATGTTTACCTTTGGCAGCATAGGGGTATCCCTTTTCTTCTTCTTTTCTGAGTTAGGGTCATCTAGCAAGTCTGGCTCAAATGTATAAAGTTCCGTAAGCTCATTCATGGTAAAGTGACGTTCAACCTGTTGTTGATCAACAACTCGAAATGATAGTGACTGCTTAGTCACTTGCCGATCATAAATTTTATCTTCCATGGTTCCCTTTGTAAAAAAGAGTATAAAAAATTATGTTATGTCAACATGTAACAATTAAGGTTGAATATAATTATTCGTTAATTTGAAATGACATGACATCACAGTAATATACTATTAAGCAAATTTTATTAGCAATGCTGTTTAATTTATAACAAATTTTATGTATACATTGTATTTTACCTTAATACAAAAGAAAACTACATTATTGACAATAATTTACATTTGACCAATATGCATACACACAGTACTTCCTATATCTTTGTATTTTCTATATCTTTGTACTGAGCTGTTGATAAGGTAAACAACAAAAAAAGGAATACCTAAAATTATATTTCAGGGGGTAACCAAAATTCCAATGGAACAATATGCTCTGAACAGTCACTATAAAGTGGCTTTATACCAAGGCTTACTTACTTTCTTTGCTCCTTTTTAAATTTCTTTTAATTTTTAAAATAACAGCCAGGGGCAGTTTGTGGGCATGACTGCTAGCTTCCCGGAAGAACAGGGAGATGAAGGGAGTGAGTTTACTGAATAACTCAAGTATGCGGGTTTTGTGACCAAAATCTCCAGGCCTCATAGAATTGGGAATGGGCAAACTTCCATCTCCCTGTTCTTCTGGGAGCCCACCCACGAACTGCCTCTGGTGTCATTTAAGCTCATTAACGGCCCTGATCCAGAAACTCACAAATATCGGAAGAGAGTCACAAACTGCAGAGGTGCCTTGCCTCCAAACCCCAAAGTCTTCATCCACTTAAAAATTTAACTCCAGAGGCTGGAGTGATAACACAGTGGGTAGGGCTTTTGCCCTGCATGCATGCGACCTGACCCAGGTTCGATTCCCAGCATCCCATATGGTCCCCCGAGCATGGCCAGGAGTAATTCCTGAGTGCATGAACCAGGAGTAACCCCTGTGCATCGCTGAGTGTGAACCAAAAAGAAAAAAGAAAAAAATTAACTCCAGTTGTATCACCCTATTTAAAATTTTCAAATTCCTGGAGCATGCAGCTGCATTTGCAGCCATGCGACATCTCACACTCTACACCATTTATGTACCAAGAGTAGGACACCACACTGATAGGGTGTAAAGTAGAAGGCAACGATATCGATCAAAAAAGAAAAAGATTAGCACATGAGGCTCAACCTGTAACAAGATGTCAACAATCTCTTATACAAGGACTTAATGTCTCCAGGGTGAGATACAACAATCTTCACATACTTTCCCCTAAGGAAACTTTTGGATCATGTTTAGCGGCTTATTCCTAAGCAGTAATACAAAATAAATTATTTAGGATATGCCTTTGAGGCAGGCTTTTGTGGTGGTGGGAAAATTCAAAATAATGGTGGTGGGATTGGTATTGGAATAATGAATGTAATAAAGTATTGTGAACAACTTTATAAAAAATTGAAAAAATAAAATAAAATAAAATAGCATGCCAAATCTATTCCATATGTAGCATTCTAAACCAGAATGTTAAGGGTTTCTTTATTTAAATAACAGTAAAAAGTTATAAAGCATAGCTTATCAACCACATCACATATTTAAAAAAAAACAGACTGGGGGCTGGAGCAACGGCATAGCAGATAGGGCGTTTGTCTTGCCTGCAGCTGACCCAGGTTCGATTCCCAGCATCCCCTATTGTCCCCTGAGCACCGCCAGGGGTAATTCCTGAGTGCAAAGCCAAGAGTAACCTTTGTGCATTGACGGGTGTTACTCCCAAAAGCAAACAAAAAATAAAATATAAAAAAATCCAAAGACTCTATCAATAAAACTTAATCTCTGGTTGAGAAGCCAAGATTTGGAGGTAGTTGGGAAAAGCAGCACATGCTCTCAATGGGAAAATCCCAGGTTAAAAGGTCAACTTTGAAATAAATAGGGCAACCTAACTCTATAAATGTACTTTAATACAGGAACAGCATTCCACTTCTTTGATTTGACATATTTTTCTTATATTTGTTTCTAGGTTTTTTGTTTTTATTTTTTGACTAAATGAAGTCATGCTCAGGGCTTACTGTCATCTCTGCTCTATACTCAGGGACTACCATAATGCTCAGGATACTATAATCAGTGCTGGGGATCGAATCCAAGGTCAGCCTCAAGCAAGGTAAGTGCTTTATCCACTGTACTATCTTTCTGGCCTGTTCCTGATTTTTAATACCCAAGTTTATATTTCAAAAAATATTATTTCAGTTATTCTTGCTTAGCATTAAATGTTCTTTGCAATGATTCTCTGTAATCAGTTTCTTTATTGACTTAGTCTTTACATTAATACCTGTTGATCACTAAAATGACCAAAATCAATGATCAGTGGAATTTCATCTATAATCAAACTGATTTTCCTAGGTATACTAACTAAAAATATGTATGTTTAATTTTCTTGAACTACCAAGAAAATGCTAATAAACCTACTTCAGCAATGCAAAATGATCTAATCTGAGAAAGCTGATATTATTAATAAACTACAAAATAGAAAATCATTAGACCAAAATTGACTGATGTACAAAAGGGATATTTTCAACTTGGTTTGTTTGACTATAATGCATGTTATTTTCTATACTCCAAAACATTATCAGTTTTAGTGTGAAAAAGAATATGTTATAAACTTACCTGAGCTAAGAACCTATATACATACACAGGTTTAGTTTGTCCAAAGCGATAAACTCTAAATATACTCTGGATGTCATAAGACGGATTCCAAGAAGCATCAAATATAATCACTCGATTAGCAGCTACCAAATTAATCCCAAGAGATCCCGCTTTGGTAGAAATGATAAACAATCGACCTCTAAAAAAATGAACATATAAAATTTTCAGTAATCAGATAAGTCAATTTTCATTTATTTATTTGTTTGGGGGGGCACACACTCAGCGATGCTCAGGGCTTACTCCAGGCTCTGCACTCAGGCATCACTCTTGGTAAGCTGGGAAACTATATCGGATGCCAGGGATTAAAACCTGGATAGGCCACATGCAAGGTATGGTAACTCTAGGACTCACTTTTCTTTTATTAAAGAAAACAAGACATACAAAAAGAATAGGTTGATGAAGGATATGCCTGCTGGAAAACAATTTAGAAGATAAATATAAAAACATATTTATAATGTTTAAACGCTATTTAAAGATTTCTAAGTATAGAAATATAGCATGGGGAGCTGGAGTGATATCACAGCGGGTAAGGTGTTTGCCTTGCATGCGGCCAACCCGTGTTTGATTCCCAGCATCCCATATGGTCCCCGGGGTACCACCAGGAGTAATTCCTGAGTGCATGAGCAGGAGTAATGCGTGAGCATCACCGGGTGTGACCCAAAAAGAATAAAAAGAGAAACACAGCATGAAAAATGTAAGGATAGTTTAGTTAGACACAAGGTATCAAAATATAATAGGAGCAGAAAGATAAAAACCATGTAAGGCCTTCCATACAGCCAACCCTAGTTTGGATTCAGGGGTCCCCTGAGCACCACCCAGAGTGATTCCTGAGCAGAGTCAGGAGTAAGCCTAGACTCTGTGCTCAGGGAGTAAGCACAGCCAGGTGTGACCCTAGTAACAAAAATAAAAACAAAAAACAAAAAACAAAAACAAAGTAGTTAAAACAGGATCAAGGCGCATATGCTGCTCGAGCCCCTGTGCTGTTTGCACCTGAGTGACTGAGCACATGTGGTACCTTGAGTACATGTGTTGCCCGCATCTCCCCTCTTGACATGTGCACTTTCATGCTTTCCTGTGTAATGTAGTGTGTAGATGTGCGTAGGGGCTCTCTATGCCCTTGAAGAAGCCTGTGTTCTCTCTTGGGCATGTTACTCTGTCTCTCTTACTCTCCACTCTCTCCCACTTTCTCTCCCTTCTTTCCTTCAAAAAACCATCCAAATAAAATATGTTTACTTCAAAAAAAATAAAAAATAAAAATAAAACAGGATCAAGAGTATAACATTCTAGGAAGGCTATACTCAAAACGAAAAATAACTAATACATCATATACTATGTTACACTACAAGAATTTATATTTCCATAAAGATTGGGAATGAATCAATTCAAATAAAACTAAGCATATGGCAAAAACAAACTATTCAACAAAAAACATAAGTGCACCAAAAGAGGGTAAAAGTAATCATGGTACAATAAAGAGATTAAGTATGAATATTTACATTGCTACACTAAAACAAACCCATTAAGTTGATTTGGGCAAATATTGTTAAAGAGTGTCCAGAGAGATACTACATAAAGATCCCCCAAGTACTGCCAAGTGTGGGTCTTGAGCACCACTGGTGTGGTTCCTCCCATCCTCCCACTACAAAACATATTATTAAAGAAAAACTGGGAAAATAAATTGGGAAATATATGTGGATATATACATGTGGGCAGTAAATTCCTACCTTCGATTGTAGAAAGTATATTGAAACTGATTATATGAAGAGTAGAAATGATGGGATGGGTAAAAAGAGGTTGTTCAAGAAGACTAGTTTTTATTTTAAGCCTTGTAAAGTATTTTTAAAATAAAATTAATCAGCTGTTTATAATAAAATGAGGTTGAAAATATGACGTATGTACAACGAAGAAGACTAAACTACATTCTAGCTATTTAACAAGGTCTATTACCATTAAAAATTACAAAATTATGTGAAAAATCTTATTAAAACTGCAAGTGAATTTAAAATAAAGCATATACACATAATGTTAACGCATTATTTATAATATTCTAGCAACCAGTGGGATTACAATAATTATTTTCTTCTTTATACTTTTATAACAATACAAAGTAAATGATATGTTTTCATTAATTAATGAAAACTTTCAAAGGTTTATGGGAAAATGTTTCTCTGGAAGTACTCCCATTATTCACATCTATTTCATAACAGCAATAGGGTTAAGAATACAGATGAGAGCTGTGGTAAAGTATATGACTTGCATGTACAGACATGGGTCTGATCTCTAGGAAAAGGAAAAAAACGAATATGGAATGGTGTTATTATGTAGGTTAAAAAAAGCAAGAAACCTTGCAAAGAACTAAAAAAACCTATTTGGTATCTATCTACTAATGAAGAACTATTAATTAAACATGCTAATTAAAGTGTCATGCATTCCATATAGCCTTTATTGTACTGAGTCAGTACTACAAAAGCTATGTGGTAACTACTATATAGTAACTGTATGTATATTTGTAACTATACATTAGTTAAATTGAAATTAATTAACAATGGGAGGTGTTTGTTTATAAAGCATAGATGTGGTAAACAACATAATTTGATTGATAAAAGCAAATAATTGGGAAAAATGTTTTATTTTCTCCCCAAGAGAAAAAATTCCTTAAGAGACCAATCAGGTATTAAAACTCATCTTCTAACTATCATTAAATATTATTCATTCTGAAACAAAAAATCCATAAAGACTTTATTTTGTTTTATTTTTGGCCATATATGGCAAAGTTTAGAAGGTCCTTTGCAGTGCCAGGTATTAAGCTGAGGTTGGCTGCAAGCAAGGCAAGGGGTCACACCCACCAACTGGTCCCCTGGTGCCGTGTAATCCCATCAACGGCCAAGACTCAGAGACTATAAAACCCAGCTCCTGGAAGAGAACAGCACAGAGTCTCCTGACCCCGCACCTGGCTGTCCTCGCCGGGGCCCCTTGGAGGGGAGCGGGTTGAGTTTCCCTCCCCGCCCCGAACCAGGGTTCTGGCAGCTGAAGACCTCCAGAACCAGCCACCACCATGCTGAGACCACTCTCCACACGCATGAAGGTACCGGCAGAGGAACAAAGGCATGCGGGTCCCAGGGCTGAGATCTCCAAGCCTGCTCACATCAGGGCTGAGCAACCTCCACCCAGATCCTCCAAATTCCAGTAGGCAGGGGTCACACCCACCAACTGCCCCCCTGGCACCATGTAATCCCATCAACGGCCAAGACTCAGAGACTATAAAACGCAGCTCCCGAAAGCACGTGGCCGCAAATGTGGCCGCACAACATCTTGGAGTGATAGCACAGCGGTAGGGCATTTGCCTTGCACGCAGCCAGCCTGGCTGAGCCGGGTTCGATTACTCCGCCCCTCTCGGAGAGCTGGGCAAGCTACCGAGAGTATTCAATATGCCAAACACAGTAACAAGAAGTCTCACAATGGAGACGTTACTGGGCCCGCTCGAGCAAATTGATGAACAACAGGAGGACAGTGACAGTGACAGTGACTTTGGACAAACTGGCAGGCTACTGAATGTAACCTGCCCACATGGTAGAGTCTGGCAAACTCCCCGTGGCGTACCCAATATGCCAAATACCAGTAACAATGAAGGGTCTCATTCTCCTAGCCCTGAAACAGCCTTGAATATGGCACTCTTTAAAAAAAATCTCAGGGCTAGGACGAAGGAGACATTACTGGGGCCTGCTCAAGGCAATCGACAAACAACAGGATGGTCATGATCATGATTTTTGGCCATACGTGGCGAAGTTTAAAAGGTCCTATGCAGTGCCAGGTATTAAGCTGAGGCTGGCTGCAAGCAAGGCAAGCACTGTAACCATTGTACTATCCCTTGTGAGATAAATATATTTTAATATTTTCTTAGTACTAAGCATTAATAGTAAACTATATACTCAAAAAGCAATTAGATATAATCTGAACAGTGTTGTTTATAAACTCTCCTTATAGCCCTTTCACTAGAAACATTAAGTACCTATTAAGCACATACCTAATAGAATTGCTGAGCAAGAGTCTTATATTATCAAATCTAAGCAAATAGATCTTCAAAGTGGTTGTTGCAATTTATACTCCCACCACTAAAGTACTGTTATAGATATTAATACAGTATTTTTATTTATTTATGTATGCATGATGTATGTATATATTTAAGTATGTGTAACTCCCTCCACCCCAATGGCTCTAACTCCCATTTTCCCAACTTCCCTTTCAAACCAGGAATCATTTCCTAATAGTTCTCCAGACAGCTCTAGCAGGAAATATTTTAAAGGTCTAACCCTTACTTATGACTTTATCTGATCTTACACACGGAATGGTGCCTCTGTAAGTTGCCACCTGGTTCTCTATCACTTGTTGTCTTTTTTAAAGACCATAACATTTTCTGGTTCAAACCCTGTCTTACTCTCCATCCAATTTTAACACATATTATGATTCCAACCCTGTATTGTCTCTTAATTCTCTCTCATTTCCATGACCAATGGTAAGGACCACTATGCTAATTTTTTAGGACACCATGGTACTTTTAAAAATGTAACTTTCAAATGGACTTAGTTTCCTGAATATTTCCAATAGTAGTACAGAAAGTCTCCATGTACCCTTCTAAATCCATCTTTTTTGCAAAGGTAAAAACTTATATAACTTAGTATCATACATTATCAAAACTTGAAAATTGTTACTGGAACAATACTATGAACTCAGGTAACTTGTCCACTTGGATTTCACCTGGCACTTCCTCTTTTCTTCACCTGCTTTTTTTTGCATATCATTTACTTAGTGTATACTACATGAACTTTTTTCATGTCATGTGAATATTATATTCAGGGTATGGAACAATCCACTACACAAAAATCACATATATATCCCTCCTCTATTATCTCTTAGTACTTACTATTGTCTCTGTTTTAATCATATAGTATGTAACCTCTTGAGACTGGCACTCAGCAAAACATTCAAGTTGTTATTGGGATCAATAGCAACAGTTCAACTGTTTTTTTATTGTTGAGCAGTATTCTTCATTATAAGTACATACCATACCACAATTTCTAATTCATTCGTTTACTAGTAGACATTTGAGTTGCTTCTAATTTAAAGTTACCATAAATAAGG